CCTTTGATCAGATTGCTGATCTTAACATTAAATTTGTTTATATTATCAAACCAATCCTTCTGGTCAGGAATTGAACCCCAGACCCTCTGAACTCCTTCCTACCTCCTTTCCTCTCTGAACTATCCAGACAGCAACTCCAACATTTGAACCCATGACATCATCAAAGTGACGACTGAACATTTCTCTTCCAAATCCTCATTTCCACTGAGGCCTCAGCTTCAGAACCCAGAGGTCCAATCAGAGCTGGTTCTGATCCCGCTGCTCCACAGCTCCTGGATTCAGACCAGAACATCTGTCTCACCAACAGCAGCAGCACCCTCTAGTGGCAGCAGGCAGCAATGACTGTAGATAAACTTTCCTTTGGTTCAAAGCTTTATTTAAGAGGCAGAAATGATTAAAAAACAATCTATAAAAGATTACATATCTTCAGACAATATAGACAACTTTCATAACGACGCTACGACAGAAATTCTCAGGAAAACAATATTATATCATCAAACATAAAAAAATAAGTTGTAGAAAACTAAAAGAAGCTGAAGTATGGATCATTATAGGAGCATGAAGCAAACGATAGATAGTCGGCCATTCTAGTTCTACTCATGGAAGCTGACTTTATTACAGATATTGTCCTTCCTGGGTTTCCGTAGTTCTCCCACGTTAACCTTCTTTTCCACAGGAAGAAGCAGTTAGCATGTTTCCTCTTATTTACACAACAAATCAAACTTCTCAGATCAGATTCTGGACTCGGTTAAAACTTCGTTCAAATGCTATAAATTGGTTATTTTCAGTAATAAATCGGATAATTTCTGGATTCGGCGTCGTGGAGGATCAAACGCGTTCATGGAGGACGAATCGGGGCGGAACGCGTCCCGTTAGCGAGCGGGAAGCGGCTGCATCTGCAGGGCGTCGTAGGTGTCTCTGGTTGCCGAACTCAGACCCTGAAAGCAAGGATCAGGTGTTAGTTTGATCCGATTGGTCAGAGGAAAGGGGGCGGAGTCAGGCGGTCCTCACCTGGTAGACCTGGTCGTTCTTCCTCTGGCGCCCGCTCCGAACAGGAAGTTCTTTATAGGTCGCATCAGCCCGTGGACCCAGACCCTAAAGTTGGCAAACAGAAGCCAAACCGTTACAGAAGAATCCACCTGAGGTCCGTAGCAGCGTTAGCGTTTGGATCGTTACCGTGTACGTGTCATCTTCCCTCACGCGGTTCTGCCTGCGCTTCTGGAAACACAAACACCATCATAAGCATGCTAACGGGTCGCTGTAGAACTTTCAGAACCACCACAGAACCCGACACTTACATCTGGTCTCTCTGGATCCGGGTTCAGAGGTGCGTAGGTGTCATTGGTGGGCCGGGTAAGACCCTGGAAGCAGAGAGGAAACGGCCCAGTTAGGACCATGGATCAACAACTGAGCTATCAACTGGATCCGTCTATTTACTGGATCCATCTATCAACTGGATCCATCTATCAACTGGATCCATTTATCAACTGGATCCATCTATCAACTGGATCCATCTATCAACTGGATCCATCCATCAACTG